ATTATAAACTACAGAATTTCAATTTTAAAAATATCTTTGAAACCGATTATGAACTACAGTTTTCCATCCAAAGAATAATATTATAATGTTTATTATTATTACTGATATATGTAATATGTTTATCACATTTAAAATATACCTACGAATTTTTAAATAAATAGTCTCAAAAGACTACAAAAAAATGAGAAACTTTTAATAGAACATATATTTAATACCGGTTACCGTTAGTCCCTACTCATACTCTATATCTAGTAACTATTAATTATTTATTATACTATATTGTAATTTTCAATTAATATTATTTATAATAACACTAGCTAGTGCATGCTTCTAAGAATCGAAACTGAACTTGTATGCGATTTAGAATTAAATTTCTTACTGCTATATCCTAAAAGTTCTAAATCAATATTAGTCAACCATCTGATCACCCCTGTGGATGTCCTAAAAAAAATAGTGGGACAGCGAGAAAAAAAATAATCGTCCTTAAGATGCCAAATAAATATCTTAATGTTTATATGTTCCAGGATTAGCCAGGTAATATTTTTTTCCGTATTTTATGTCCAACCGAATGCCAACGCCCTGCGGCTTATCTATTTGATTAGGTATACTGACAGACTATAGTATTATAACACTATATATCTCACTAGTAAACATGTATAACATTTAATAATTTATTTGAGCGGTTAGTCTAGGTACCTATTATTATTTTTTCACACACTGTATCCCATAGGCAGATATTTGATTACATTTTAGAGAGGGCTTAAATACTTCTTTGTATTGTTGCAAAATAGGTACCTATTTAATACTTTGAAAATGTTCAATAATTTTGGGGAGCTTTCATTTTGAGGGAGGGGGTAAGCCCACTCAAGCGCTCCCTAATCTCCACCTATGCTATAGCCTATGCCCTGTAGGGTCTGGATTTCAATGCAAAATTATTACAACATACATTTATAAACTATTTGTATGCACTTCTAGATTCTGATAAAATTAATCGAATGTCATAGAGGAATAGCATATTTTTTTTAAATTACAAAAACAATATTCTTAAATATTCGTAGTAGTTATCTATATCTTATTTAATGAGATTTTAACAAAAATTGTTGTACCTTTACTTTTATTTGGAGATACGAAATACAAGAAAATAAAGAAAAAAAATTAATGATAACGTGAAATAAATTATAATAACTATTATAAGAAAAATAAAAAGATCACGTGTAAAGCTCATGCGTGCAAATCTGAAGTATAAAATTAGGATGAATTTTATTATATTGACATAATTGAAAGAACATTTTTGTAGGAAAATTGAAGATCAAGATATGATCAAGAAAAATGTAATTTAAATATATATTTTAAAAGAATAATTATGTAGTGAGTACTGAGTACCATTGATTAAAAGTCACATTATTTGTACATAATATATATATATATATGAATGGTTAAGTAACTATAATTAACTATATTATAGTCTATAGATGTTTTTATATTTTATTCTTGAATTTTGAGTATTAAAATTATAATATATAAAGGTTTTTATAAAAAAAAAATCAATACCTATTATTTCTATAAAACTATTAATTTATATAATATTATTTCGAAACAAAATATTAATTTGACAATGCGAATTATCAAGCACGTGTTATACAAGAATGTACGAGCATATAATTATATAAATATATATAATATAATACAACGATGACATTTAATCTCTTTTTTTTCCATTATTGTCAATCATTCAACATTTGTGAAAAAGATATTATATAGTATACACTGATGCGTTTAACACTATTGAACAGTGACAAATATTTAATATAATAAATTATACCGTTTATAACTAAAAATAATAAATAATATAACAATAAGCTTACATTTTCTATTTTAGTGTAACTGGCTCATCATACTTATAAAAATCATTCATTTTAATAATATAATTACTTAATTTAAAAAATATATAGTTAGTGTGAAATCAGAAATAGATAATATACCTATAGTCTTATAAATGAATACTAATCTAAAAATGATAACTGTATCTATTATAATTATTTTTAAATAACAATGTAATGTATTTACACAATGAAGCACTTATAATAATTGCATAAAAAATAATAAATGTAACGTTTGACTCACGTCATAGATCTTCAGTTACCAACTGGCAACTGGTATAGCTCAATGCCCACAAACCAGCTTAAAAACTACGTAGGTAAGCTACCGATGAACTGCTGAAGTAGGTAAGTTTAATAAACTACCTATTAACTAAAATAATATTATTTTTTTCGTATGTCTTTAGCTGTCGAGTGTTTCAGATGGTAGGTACCTATTGGCAATCACCAATGATTATAAAAACCTACTAGTATTTATTATCAATGGCAATAGGTATAACTGGTACCTATTAGGTTCTTTTTAAAATGCAGTTGTTCGTTTCTTTACACATTTAAAGTATATTATAATGTCTGTTTCACAAATTGTATTTAGAATAAATTAAATATTCAAGGTAGATACATCGACGTAAATAGGGGTGCTATAGTCATCCTTCATAGAAGTTTTTAACACTCCTGGCTTCTATATATTTTTACTTTTTAGTCCCTTTTAGACTTTAGTTCAAATTTTTGTATAAAAAATACGTTCATTTATTAATGTTTAAAATATATAATGATAAGAATAATATGTAATGTACCATGTAGACTGTAGTTCATGTTAGAGCAGGACTGTGAGGAAAATCAAAGTTCAATTATCATATACCTATACTATAACAACTAAAACAGATTTAGTGATCTGGATATATATTCTTAACCAAGTTGACTCCATGATTGAAGGGAGTACGTGAAGTTTTGTTCACAATATTCCTATGGCTTATTTCGAGCTTTGAATTTCTAGGACTCCAACGTCTCTAACTTAATCATAACTATTAAATTCTAGTTACAAACTTACAGTACTTACACCGATGGTAAGGGTTCCTCTTTTTATTGAACGCCAAAATCCAAAGAAACGCAAACTAATACTACAATTAGTATATAGACATGATACATAACATATTTATATATCATTATACTATATAATTGATATAGTGATATCTGTAAGTATATGTGTCACAAAAGATTTATTGAAAGTAATATTTAAAAATATTTAGAACCATCAAGTAAATATATAATGAATTAATAACTATTAATCAGTAATAACATAATTACCTATTCAATACAGTTTAGATTTAATATTTTACAATATAGATTAAGTAAATATTAAACGCACCTAGAGTCAGAGGTTAAATGTGGAACTAAAGGAAATTCTGACTATACTTATAAAAAACATTTTTATAAAACAGACGTTAACCTATTAATTTTTTTTCAAAATAGGTAAGCAAGTGTGCTAAGGCTTTAAAAGTTGAAATAAGAAAAATAAAATGGAATTAAGTAAGATAATTTCTTCTCCATTCAAAATGAAAAAATATTTATTTTCGAAAAATTTTCATTTTAAATTTATCGTATTTATTATATAGGTATATATTAATTTGATAAAAAAATATTGATAAAAATGATAGCCCGGTGAACTACGGATGAACTATTCACGCACAACTCCCTGTAAATTAACGTTTCATAAAATATTATTGAAATAATATTTGCAGGAACGAAGAGAAATTTTTTTAAAATAAGGATGAATGAAGAATTATAAAATGGATATGGAAAACCCAGTATAATAGGAATTGTGAATTAAACAGGCAATAGTAGAATATAAGATGGGCTGGTTATTTTGTCACGTATAGAGATTGGACGAAATATTAAGAAGTATACTACAAGCAGATGATTAAACTTGACTTAAAGCTACTCAGGGGGTCAATCCACTAGATCTAGAGAACGGGATAGGACAGATTGAAGAAAGTTCTTAAGATGGTAATTGAAGTCGAAAATGCGAAAGACATCGAGATGTAGTGTGACAATGAGTCATGAAAAAGTGGAGTATGTTGCTGCGCTTTGGTCTTTATATGTTTCAAGAAAAATAAGTATTTTTTCGTATTTATGTCTACCGTAAAATGTAATAGCAGTATTCACTATATAAGGCTTATAAATATTCTGATAGCTACCTACTATCAACCGCACACTAACAACTAGCCACTGGCCACTGCCCAGTGCCCACTGCCCAGCAATGAGTAAATTAACATGACTATTGATTATAGAACAGACTATTCTAAAATCAATGACATAGCGTATAATCAATAATAATTAATAATCTTGTCACCTTGTGAACTATGAAAGGTTTTTGTTTCATCTCTAAGACAATTAGGTTTTCGCTTTCACTTTTTTGACATTAAATCACGATTATATAGAAAGAAATAATAAATCGTGCGCGAGTTGAAATAATTAAATCCACGATAATTTACCGTCTTAAATAATTGTGGTTGGATCTCAACGCGAATGGATCTAATAGCCGAGTGTCCGGGTGGCGGGTGACCAGGTTTATCACATTTATTCCTCCATGGTGCGAAATTAATTTAAAATTATCATGTTTTTAGGGTTTTTTGTTTTATCAATATTTTTTTTGTTTTTATTATCGGCACAGAACATGTGTGTATACTGTATTACTGTGTGTCTGTGTACTGTGTTATCGGCTTCGACTACAGAGTACGCGTCAATTAAGAGTAACAGAATACAAAAATACAATAATATACTTCTCTTGTTTACAATTTACATACTTCATGATAAAAACGGGGAGGCGCGACTATTGCCGTCACGACTTACGAGTCTATTTGTGAATGATTCATAAAAAATAATGTTGTTATAAATACAAGAGACGTACGATTCTAAAAACAGCGTACAGGGGAACTGAACGGGCTTAAGTAATATTTTTCAAAGGTAAAAACTAATAATAGTAATAGTAATAATAATAATGTACGATAACGACATGCGTTGAGGTTGACCGTATGACGGCAGCTGTCAAAGTGTCGCCTATTAAAAGCTAAAGCCAGTAGCCACGTCTTCTGGTCAAAATTGCATGTTTGATGACAATTTTATCATTTATGTAATTGATTTAGAATTTCTATTGGTCGGGTTATTCATTGTGTACATTGGTCCTACGCTTAAATTACACAATTGCGAAGTTAATTCGAACAATAGTCTATAATATTCTAAGGTCTCATCGTTAATATCTGAACGTACTGTTGTTGATTATTTTAGTAGTCTTATATACAATCGACGTTAATTATAGTTTTTGTACTCGCTTGCGAGTATGTTAAAATACATGTCCTACCGACCTACACACTACACAGTTTTATTTTAAACATTTTTAGACAAGTAAAAAACAGTAAACAGTTGTTGAATTTGATAGTCTGCTTTTTAGTTTGGTTGGTTAGGTAAAGTTTATTTGAACATTAATAATAATTAATAAAAAATTCAATTGTTTTTGCCTTATTTGAAAAAGAAATTATATTAATATTGCTGTTTATTTTAGTGTTCAGTGATATTTAACCAAGAAAATATTTACATTTTACAATGGACTCAACGTTTGAAATGGAGAAATGTCCTTGGGATCAGAGTACTTATGTTGGACGATGGCATTATTACTTTTGGGTAACAAACCCTATGCTATGTCTGAAAACTGATCAAGAGCTTGAAAATGCCAAGTCTTTACGTTCATCCTATTTGTGAGAAATAATATATGACTTATGAGACATTTTAAAATATAATTGAATTCAAAAATGTTTCATGTTTTTTACAGAAATGGTACACTTCCACCTGGAACAACTACTGAACAATTGTTAGCTGCCAAACAGATCTATGAAAGTTCATTTCATCCAGATACTGGACAAAAACAAAATGTATTTGGTCGAATGTGCTTCCAAGTCCCTGGGGGTATGGCTATTACTGGAGCAATGTTGTCTTTTTATAAGTATGCTATTATTAAAATTTAAAATCATATAAAGTACCATAATTAATATTTACTTTATTTTGTTACTTAATAAGGACAGTACCAGCTGTAGTATTTTGGCAATGGATTAATCAGTCGTTCAACGCTTTGGTCAACTATACCAATCGAAATGCTAACTCACCTCTGAGTCAAACTCAAATGGCTACTGCTTACGGTTCAGCAACAATAGCTGCTTGTGTGACATCCATAAAATTCAAACAATTCCTGACCAGCAATGCTTCACCTTTTTTTCAAGTAAGCTTTTAATTTTATTATTTGTCATAGTATTGTAATTTTTCTAATTTGATCAATATTTTAGAGATATGTTCCATTTGCTGCGGTTGCAGCTGCTAATTGTGTGAACATACCATTGATGCGCCAGACTGAATTATTGAATGGTGTAGATGTTTATGATGCTGATAAAAATAAAGTTGGCTGTTCAAAGGTAACTTATTGTACCTTAAAATATTATTTTTTTCTTATTGATTTTTATCAATACACAATTTGAAATTATTGGTTGATTTTAGCTAGCTGCTGCTAAAGGAATATCTCAAGTAATAGTATCAAGAATTGTTATGTGTGCACCTGGAATGGGTAATTGAAAAAAATAGTTAACATTTTTATTGAATTTATGGATTGTGTATTTAAGTGTTTCTTAATATTATTTGTAGTATTGCTGCCTGTCATAATGGAAAAACTTGAAAACAAAAGTACTTGGTTCAAGCGTAATACATGGATTCATGCTCCATTCCAAACACTTGCTGTTGGTTGTTTGTAAGTATTGTATTTTTAAATCAAACAATCTATTTAAACTTATCAACACGTTGAAATGTGCAAATTTGATGAAATATTGAATTTTTATTTTCAGTTTAATTGGTATGGTACCAACTGCATGTGCTCTGTTTCCTCAGTTCAGGTATATGATTAAAAGTAATTTATGTAATATTTATGTTTAAACATTATGTCTTATTTTAGTTCTATTAAATTAAGTACATTGGAGAAATATGAGAATACTGCTTACTGTGACATAGTGAGCAACTGCAAGAATCCACCAGTTGTTGTGTACTCTAATAAAGGACTTTAAAATTACAATCTCATTAACTGATAGTATCTTAAATAATGTACTCATTAGACTTCCTATTTGTTATAAAATAGTTTAAAAAAAATCAATATTGTTTAATTAGGGGCACATACTCGCTAAGGAAAACTACAGGATACTGATATTTGGTATGCTAAAACTTTTGATTATGCTGAATAGTTGAAAAGTACATATGATAACATTACATATTATTTTGTTTTTACTGGCATATTTATTTGCATAATAATTGTTCAGTAAATATCTTTTTTTTTTTTATATATACAACGTTAATTTTAATAAACAATTTTTTTTTGCTTTACCTATGCATTTATAAAAATCAGATGTAATGACTAATTTATAAGTATCAAGTGCTTCCAATAAAATAATTAAATTCATATTTTAAGTAAGTCTGATGAAAGAAAAATGTACGCCATAAATTATATCATTGTTATTACAACTACTTATTAGAATCAAGTGATCATGTCATAGTTTAGAAAAAAAAGTCAATAATTATTATAGTTTATTTCTATACACATATTTATAAATATTTAAGATCTGATTATTTACTATTGTTTTAACTTGTGAACCTAATAGATACATATATTTAAATCTTTTGATCTGTATAATAATAAGTTTTAAACATCACTATTCAACTAAATGTTCTGATAATAGTACTTATTGTATGATAAGTTATTCAAATAAGCAATATATTTGTAACATTTAACTATTACATAATTTTTCTAATAAAAAATCTGATATACTATTATTACTCTCATGTTACAACTTTTCTTTTTGTTAAGAGAGTGCCTTGCTAGTGTGTAACAAAACATCAACATTGACTGTGTTCTCTTAAGTGAGTTTTCGATATTTTTTGTTATGAGTGTTTTAAAATGTTAATGCTAGAAACTTTTATTTGTTTGAAAATTAAGTTATAACAAAACATCGACAATTTTGCAACCTTTAAATTTGACAATAGGTTAATTTAATGTAAATATCCTATGTCGTGTAATTGTAAGACAAAATAAGTGTATGTGAGATTACCATGTCTTAATATAATCTGAAAAGAATTTAAACATAGTATCCACCCAATAATATCCGTTTAAATTCTTTTCCAATAACTTATAAATCCTACTACTATGGTTATAACTTGTAAATGTAACAGACAGTAATTTTACTTATTCCACCAAAATAATTAATACTAAACAATTGACATTCAATTACTGCTATTGTCTATGATATATTTTACTATGTACGATAAAGCGAATTTTAATAGTGAATTTGACTAATTATCTAATTAAATATACTAAACCTCAATTTTGACTCTTGTAATAATTGAAATTTAGCAGTTGGATTTAAGATTTAATATTTTTATTATCCTAAATTATGATTGAAACCAATTAATATCATATCATTAATTAATAATTATGAACTATTGAAAGAGGAACTATAGTTCATACTCATATTACAATATTATATACAATTTTATTGTATTATGGTCATTACTCATTATTCAGTAAGGAATTCGCTTCACCCGTTCAGGGCGTTCAGGCCGGTCTTTACGGCGAATACCGTAGATGATAAGAAAAGTTAGCTTGTGTTATGGAAATATCTTGTGATAAGAAAATAATAAGTGAGCTGCAACACGTCTGTGTATTCGAAATCGTTTAAACTATTTGAACTTTGAACATTTTGAAGTGAATGCGACTTTCTCTACTTGACGACAACAAATATCATAAAGTGATGATCCTTTGAACTCGTTGAATTATGGACACAATAAATACGCTCCGTGACATACAATAATAATTTATCATCATTTTAAAATTACACAAAATAAATGATTTGCTATTCCTTATATGGTAATCCTGGTTGACTCGGTACAGTTATCTTTATAATAATAATATGCTTATCATCAGCCTCAAACATATCAGGTTTCTGTGGTCTGCGAGAATAAAATAGTTACACATTTACATTTTACACACTAAAATACCTTACAAACAACAGTCCCGCCGTCTAATTTTATTATTATAGTTATTATTATTATTGTGTGTTCTCATTTTCACGTAATAGATCCATTACACCCGAAATAAGTATCAACTCATAATTTAGTGATTTATTTTTTATTAGTGCTTCATTTTTACCTACAACAGTATCTTTATACACTATGTCCTATTCCAACAGTGAGTCATCATCGTAATCGATAGATTTTTGTTAACGAGCGATTAATAAGTAATTTTACCATTTGATTATAGAGTACATTTACTCAACTCTACCACGCACTCAAAGAGGGCAGCCGATTGTGTTGGGCGGCGATCCTAAGGGAAAAAATTTTCTTTACACAAACGGTAACAGTGTCATTATACGTGATATTGAGGTGAGGCCCTATATTTAATTCGTTGTCAATAAACATTTGATTAATTTTTGTTATATTTATTTTTGTGAAGAACCCTGCGATATCAGATGTTTACACCGAACACTCATGTGCCGTTAATGTTGCTAAGTATTCCCCTAGTGGATTTTACATTGCATCTGGTGGTATGAAATCAAATAAAATTAAATGAATAAAATATTAGACCAATATAATGTATTGATTACAGATCAATCAGGAAAAGTAAGGATTTGGGATACTGTGAATAAAGAACACATACTAAAAAATGAGTTCCATCCTTTTGGAGGGCCGATCAAAGACATTTCTTGGTCTCCAGACAATCAACGGATGGTGGTTGTTGGCGAAGGCCGAGAGAGGTATGTTACATCATTTAACTTTTTATGCTTTTGATTTTAGTGTAGTATTTATACTATATTTTTATAGATTTGGTCATGTATTTATGTCGGAAACTGGTACTTCAGTTGGTGAAATAACAGGTCAATCCAAACCAATTAATTCGTGTGATTTCCGTCCTAGTCGTCCATTTAGAATAGTGACTGGTAGTGAAGATAACACAATTGGTGTTTTTGAAGGTCCACCATTTAAATTCAAAATGACCAAACAAGTAAATTTTATCTTTGATTAATTCAGTTTATTTTGTTGAAATAAAGTAAGCCTACCTAATTCTTTAATTTTTTATATTATAGGAACACTCGAGATTTGTTCAGGCAGTACGTTTTTCACCCAATGGTAATTTTTTCGCATCAGCAGGTTTTGATGGTAAAGTATTCTTGTATGAAGGTACTAATGCTGATCTTGTTGCTGAAATTGGTAGTCCAGCACATAAAGGAGGAGTTTATGGAGTAAATATCAACACTTAAAAAAATATATTTAACTATAATTTTTTAATGTATTATTAAACATTATTAGGTTGCTTGGAGTGCTGATAGTACACAACTATTAACATCTTCTGGCGATAAGACTTGTAAACTGTGGGATGTAGAAACAAAATCTGTTGTTAGTGAATTTGTGATAGGAAATCAAGTTGAAGATCAACAGGTTTGTAATTATTTTGTTAGATAATTTATTAAATTAATAATATTTTTGTATTTTAATAGGTTTCTTGTTTGTGGCAAGGAAATTATTTATTAACCGTTTCTCTTAATGGTTTTATTACTTACCTAGATGTCAACAATCCTGAGAAACCCCTACGAGTCATTAAGGTAATTAAAATTGCCTTTTATAATTGTTTAAATGTATTGTTCTTCATAAAAAAAAATTCTGAATATTTTTTAATTGAAATTATACTTAAAATAATATATTTATATTATACTTATATTTTAAAAGTATACATTTTTTTTAAATACTCATACCTAAAATAAATTATATTCGATGATATTAAATATTAACCATTTTACGGATTTATTGAATATCATTTGTATTTATTTTATAGTATTGAACTAAAATAATTTTATTTTAATTGAATAGAGAAAAGTAAAAATAAAAACAGCGCTTTAAAATGTTTATTAATTAAATATTATGAAAGAATATATTAATGAAATTCAAAAATCTTTGATTTAAAAGAATATAAATGTAATAAATACATTTATCATCTTTAGGGTCATAATAAACCAATTACAGTATTAGCACTGAGTCCAGATCGTAGTACTATTTATACTGGCTCTCACGATGGCAATATCACAAATTGGAATGCTGCAAACGGTAACTACTGAGTATTTTATACCATTTTAAAATTTTGAATATAAAATATTGTTAAAAAGATATATTTTTTTTATTTCTTCCAGTTCAGAAAAATATAATAATTGTTAATTACTGTTATAAATACAATTAGGTGAAAACGACAGAGTAAAAGGTGTAGGTCATGGAAATCAAATCAATGGAATGAAGCTGGACAATGACTACTTGTATACATGTGGAATTGATGACAGTCTTAGGCAAGTTGATATTAAATCCAATTCATACACAGACTTGCAAATCAAACTAAATGCTCAACCAAGAGGAATGGACTTCAACAGTAATGTGATTGTCACGGTTACGATTAAAGAGGTTATACAGAACATATTTAATGAGCAAAGTATTAGTATTTTTAATATGAAAATTTTATATGTTAGATAATAGTATTGAAAAACGAAAAAAAAGTTTTTAATTTGCCTGTGGACTATGAACCTTCATCTGTAGCTGTTAGTCCAGACGCTGGTTTTGTTGCGGTTGGAGGAGCTTTAGATAATAAAGTAAGTGTATATAACGACTAAAAATCACATGTATTACACACAATGGTCGTCATGGTTTAATTGATAAGTATATCTAGGTACACATATACAAGATTAATGATTCCACTTACACATTGGAATTTGTCGCGGAGTGTGATCACTTGGGACCAATTACAGACTGTTCTTTTTCACCTGATGGAGAGTACTTAGTAGCAAGTGATGCGAACAGAAAAGTTATACTATACAAAGTACCCGAATTCAATGTAAGTAAAATGAATACTTAAATTCTAAAACAAATATGCTATATTATTATTACTTTACAATTGGATAGCCGATAAGAAATATAATATAATATTGTTTTTTATTTAATTTTCATTAATTTTGTTTCTTTTTTTTATTTTTATTTTAGCTGGCACACAAACAAGATTGGGGTTTCCATAATGCACGTGTTAACAGTGTTGCCTGGTCACCAAATTCAAAACAAGTAGCCAGTGGAAGTTTGGACACCACTATCATCGTATGGAGTGTTACTTCGCCAAATAAACATACAATAATAAAAAGTTAATATCAAGGCTTTTTAGTTTAAATCAAGTTGTGATATTTTTAAATAATAATATATATATATTTATTTTTATTTTAGATGCTCATCCACAAAGTCAAATTACTCGTGTTCTGTGGTTGGATGATGAAACTATAGTGTCAGTTGGACAAGACTGCAATACAAAAATCTGGAATGTTACTCCCATTTAATCTGGTACTGCAAGTTAAAATATATTATATATATATATTTGACTATTTATTTTTGAGTTATTAATTAACCAATAGATGTATATTTTTTTAATGAAGTAAATCCCAAAATGAAAAAAATTGCACTCACAGATAAATGGTGTCCTATTATTATTAAATAACAATTAGGTTTATGGTTTTGCCAATATTATAGATTTCAATCAATGAAAAATATATTTTATTTATTTATTTTTTCAAAAGTGTTTATTATTATTAACCATTTTATTATTTTATAGTTTTCTAATTTCTCTCTATACTTTATTATGTAATTTGCATTTATATTTTTCTAATATGTAATGAATAATAAAATAACTACTTTGAAACAATTTTTTTATTTTTACTTATTAATTATATGAATATATTATAAATAAAAAGTACACTTGTGAATTATCACAAATTATTAATTAAATATTTCAAATCAATATTATTTAATTACAAATTTACAACGTTTCATCAAGTATTTGGTATAAACAACTAAAATTTCTTTCCAAATTTTCAATTACTTCGATTGGTTTTTGCATAAGTTTTTGTCTATGATCATTTGGTGGTTTTGGCATTAGATGTTCTAAGCATGGCAATGGTTCATTAAAAAAATAAGGATGAAGTAATGCCTAGAAAATTGTTTTAAATATTATATTAGTTTTAAATGTTCTAATTTGTCATACTATAATAATTTAATGATATAACCATTTTTTTGTTTACAAGTTCTTTCTATAATTACAATTATAACGGTTTTGATACAAAAAAAAAAAAAAATTATAATATGAAAGAATAACTGAAGTACCTCGTATGCATTTAATCTCTTATCCGCATTGTATAAAATTAATTTTCCCACTAAATCAACTAAAAATTCATCAACATCAGGCAACAATTCATTTGTTGGTACTGGATCACATTTTGTAAACTTTAATTTATTGTAATCTGGCATTTCATTCCTATTTGGCCAAGTTTCATCAGTTGGAGTCCCTAAATTATGTACAACGATAGCAATCTGTTCCATATCAGAATCACCCTAAAAATGAAATAATATTTTACGTTTCATAAACAGAGATTTGCTGTAAAGAGTTAAATGCTTAAAAAAATTATAGCAAAATACTTAAGTTAAAAATGAATCTTTCTCATCAACTATTAAAAAAAAAGTGCATATCTCGAAGAATTTTAAGCCATTGGGTCACAATAATTGGCGTACAGACTAAAGGTAAGTCGTAACTACTGCACTGCAGTATGAAATGTTAGAGAAAAAACAAACGAATCATCTAACCGCGAATAGAGGAGTTTTCATTTGCATTTCTGCTAAAATGCAACCGACCGACCACATATCAATTGATTGGTCGTAGTGGACAGAGCCAAACAAAAGTTCAGGAGCACGATATCGGCGTGTCGCTACTTGGCCTGTGTAACAACATCGGTTGCGCCCGCTACGTTGTTCATCGACATTGTCGTCAGCAGCCGCCGTTGTCAGTAGCAGACGGCTCAAACTGAAATCCGCTATTTTTAATACTCCCTCGGAACTTATCAGCAAATTCGCTGGTTTTAGATCCTATTAGAAACAAACGAAATCATAAAATTAATTGTAAGGCGAATAGACGATGACACGTGCACAAAACAAACTGTACTGGAAATCTAGGATAAGAATCGATTTATTAATAATCTACCTATCTATGAAAATTAATTAGGTAAATTAATCAAATTATTAATTCTAAAGTTGGCGATTAAATCATACATGGTAATCTTAGAAGGTTTTATTTTTTGAAGCTAAAAGAATAAATAAAAAATAGTGCAGGTACTAGCAAATAGGTTACATTTTATGATATGTCACATTGTCCATCTAGTATAAAACTTTTAAAATACGTTGATGTAAAAAAATCTGTTTTATTATTCAGTGACTTTTCTTTCTCCATTAGTCATTACCCTGTGCATGATGTTGGTGGTATGCATGTGCATTACACCGGCGAGGAGCATACGAGCGTATGTTTTCAAATGGGAATCGTCGAGGAAAACATCGTCATCATACAACATCTCTGGCAAGCCAGAAGCCACAAACTCTAATACCAAATAGAAACTGAAACTGTGACAAAAATGATCTAACAGCTTTACGACCTGAAAAACAGAGAGCAGTTGAATATTTTATTGCTTTACCATCTAAAACACATTGCTACGTAGATGGAGATTAAGTAGAACTGTAGAACTGGCTTTGATCGGAGGGAAACAAACAATTGATAAACTTTAGCCTTATTTACCCATATAAACTAGCACGCCTTCAACCCCAAAGTATATGAATTTTTCCAATATTTTTTATCTCTTATTATATACCTATTTAATGTTTATACTAAACGTGTCAATTTATTGTGTTACGATTAACAATAGGTACATACATCATATAATTAATGTCTGATTAATAATAATCAAATAAATTAAATTAAATTTATAAATAATTGACATTTTTTCGAATATTATAATTCATAAGCTATAAAAATTAAAATTATAAGTTACGATAGCCAAGATAAACGCAACATTTTCTGATAGATCTGTAAATTATTCAAAGAATTAAGCCCAGATTCACTAACCTCCACTTATGCCAATCGACCAAACGCTAGTGCCTAGTTATTTATATTTATATAACAAACGTAATCGGAATCCAGCGCTTTCAGTGATTCAATTTCTCGTAGCAAGTTCTTTGACGCCTTGTCCGACGAACGTACGCACTTAATGGCGACTATTTTACCAGTAGACCGTTCCATGGCTTGAACCACTTGCCCGTGCGTTCCTTCTCCAATCCGTTCCAATATTTTATAACTTTCCATTGATATAATTTAAATGCAACTGTGGTCTGTGAAGTACCTAATGTTAGATTTTAGTATTAAAAACCCATAGGTCTTATAATGGCTGCAATGTTGTGCACTGCGTCAATGATATGTTAAATATGGTTGCCACGGCAACACATCAATTTAGGAACGAGCAACCATATTATCATTGCCGTCTTAATTTTCATCTAGTTGATGTGCGATTGAACAAAAATTTACACATTTTAGACTAAAGTGCACAATCCAATTGGGCAATCCTATGGAAATTATTGAACGTTATTTGATATACCTACCTACTTACTTAAGAAGTCAACATGACTTTAAGGTACTAACGTCATCTAGTTTTGAAATATAGAGTGCAAATGCAAACAAATACTGAATTTATAGTAACCCATTTGACTACCTACCTATTGAAATTAATGATTTTATTGTATCAATCACATGGATGACAAAAAAAAATATAAATAAATATATACATAAAACTGAGTTTTACAGTAAATTATTACTTGTAAGTACTTATACTTGACTATTTATATAGCCATTGAAGTAGGTCGCTGAAGAAGTTCTGAATGGAGTGATTGGAGACAATTATACTATGCGTTTAATAATTACCTACTACCTACATATATTTATTTAATAATAAATAATTTATTTTACTATTTATAATAAATATGTAAGTAGCTGCCAGCTGGTAAACCGAACTTGAATTAATTCTTAATAAAATTATTTATTATAATATAATGTAGGTAGGTTATACGGTTAAGTATTTTGTACAGGAATATTATTGATTAATGATTACCAAAAGTAAAATAGTCATACAATAGTTTAATAAAAAAAAAAATAAATTATATTAAACTTTAATATAATTTTCAACCTGTATTTTATATTTGGTCAAAACTACCCACGAATGTGTTAAAATAAGTGCAGATTACATTGAACAAAGTTAAAAAAAATAGGGTAAATCAACGATAAATTGCATAATTTAATTTATGTCAGCTAATTCACAAATATACATTTCCTCGCTAGAACATTGGAGATAGATTTTATGGTTAAAAATATTGGTAGGTTAATATAACCTCGAGTATATAACAAATTACCTATGGAGTTCTTCACCATTACTGATTCACTGTCTCAATTATCCATTCTAACATTTATTTTATTATAAGAAAGTTACAAATATTTACAAGTCATGTGAGTGATTAGACTAAATATTTAATATATATATATTTTTATTTATGGAAAAAAAAAGGAAAGCCTTGATAACGGGACCATTAGCTTTTTACAAGGTACTTAAACTAAGTTGTACAATTTAATATTTTTCATAAATAATAGTATGTTTTGGATGGCTTCTTCGTTTGGACGAGTGCGTCGTGAAGGTGCTTTATTCGATTCATGGACGAATCCCCGTAATACATTTCCCCGTTACGCTTTCCCCGTCCAGCGATTTTCCCCGTTAGACATTTCTTCGTCAAAAGAAGGATATACAGGGTGATTTTTTTATCAAACAACACTCATTATTTCCAAAAGTATTCATTTTTTTGAAAATATTTTTTTACATAGTTTCAAATTGTTAAAAAAACAACATTTTTATAAAAAAATTATATTTTTAAATATTTTTTATCCTTATAATTTTCAAAAAAATGAATACTTTTGGAAATAATGAGTATTGTTTGATAAAAAAATCACTCTGTATATATAAGATATAACAAATAAAGATAGTATAAATGTTTATATAGCTTATATTGCACCTTGTACGGACAAATTAACTTAGATATATATTTATTATTACCTATAGGTTTTATCAAATATAAATTACCTATAAAGATTTAGGTACGTTATCGATGTACGTTCTTACCATGAACGTAATTTAAATGAATATTTAATTGGAATTGCTCATAATTTACAAATATAAGGTATTAATTTTTATTATAATTATTGCTCAAAATTTTTATTATTATTTATATATTTATTATTATTATTAAATAACATTTTACAAATTATTTTATGTGTCTGTAATAGTGTAATAACGTATACCAGTAGCATTAATTTTTATTATTATTTATATATTTTTTATAATTATTATTAAATAACATTTTACAAATTATTTTATGTGTCTGTAATAACGTATACCAATAGCATTATTTTTTATTATAATTATTTCTCAAATTTTTTATTATTATTAATATTATTATTTATATACTTTTATTATTATTATTAATTAACAACATTTTACAAATTACGGGGACGGGGAAATGTCGCACGGGAAAACGTATTAGACGGAAAAATATTTTACGGGGAAATGACCCGTTACCGCTTTATTCGGGCCTCTTGAGTGTCTTTACATTCTGTGAGGATATGTTTGAGATTGGGTGTCCGCATGTATCACATATTTTGGGAGGTTCTTTTTTCATGAGATATGCGCGCGTGTAGTGTGTATGACCTATTCTGAGGCAATTTAAAATAACTTCATCTCTTCTTTTGAGGAAGATTGGATTATTCTATTTTTCTGTAGTTCTTTTTATTTTGTATAATTTAGCGTCCATTTTTAGCCATTCGTTTTTAAATCGGTTGTATATAATTGTTTTAGTATCTTTGTCTGAGTTTATATTCTAGACGGTTTGTAGATTTAGATTGTTCGATTTTTCCTTGGCTAGTTTGTCCACCCTTTTGTTGCCAGTTATTCCGCAGTATCCAGGTATCCATGAAAAAACTATGCTATTGCTAAATGTATGGGTCAAAAATTGATAATTTTATTGACGATGATATTATCGTTATTAATATTACTAATGCTAGTTAAAGTGCTCATTGAGTATGTAAAAATTATATACTTTTTATTTTGCAAGTTAGTACTTATTATACTAAAAATGTTTCTTATTTATTCAGTTACAAATATGTATACTGTTTACACTAAAAAAAAAAATCGAACCAACAAATAACGTTCTCCAATTATACCATATCAGGAGATGAATTAAGAAAAATTAATTCTTAAAATAAACTTGTATACTATGAATAAAAATTATTAAACAAACCTCACACATACTACTCGTAGCTACTGCAATAATGAACCAGTCAGGATATATTATTTTTAATGTAGGAACAGCCTTAATTTTCTACTTGGCGATATTAAACTTCATAATTATTAATAATATAAATTTGCGCCAAGCAGCATTCATGTTAGTTTTAATACATTTATTGATAATAAAGCCAACATAAAATGGATTACGCTGTACATAAATTTGATGTTGTATACTTGAGTACATGTAAGTGTAGTAATTACATACATAATATATTTACAACTAACACCCAGTACATTCATTTTAGGATTGAACCGTAGTTCCCCTTAACATTGAAAAAATACTGTATACTCATAATGACTTTAAAATATATCTGAATTAAATTGTACCAGAAATATTAAATTATACAATATTTTGAAAGTTTTAAAATTGAAGTATTAGTCAATTTAAAGAAAAGAATATTGTAAGGAGAAAAAAAAACAACAATTTTTAAAATAATTTTGTTTATTAGTCCAATCATGCCTTAGCTTTACCGGTCGATTTTGCCTTTGGTGCAGCCTTGGTAGCAGGTGCAGGTTTTTTAACCTCAGCCTTAGGTTTTGGCTTGGGTAATTGTTTCTTGCACTTCTTGGTAGGCGGAGCTCCACCACGTGCAGCAAGTCGCTTTCTGTACGCTTCCAATTTCTTCTCATGAATATCACGTAGACCTTTAACAGCAATAACCTTCTTGGCCTTGATTTTGGCAGCACGTAACATTTTCTTTTCATTGATGAAACGTTTTAATAATTTTTCACCCTTCTCAGTGGTTGGTCTCTGAAAATAATAAAATTAATTATTTCTACTGTCTGTATCAAGTTCAATAAAAATACGCATGTTTTACTTACACCTTCTTTCTTGGCTAAGTAAGTTTCACGAGCTAGAGTTCTTAATTTGTTTTCATTACTTGCAACTCGTTTTTGAACTGCAATGTAAGGATTCAATCTAAGCATGGTGCGTACGTGTCTCAATGGGTTCAATTTACGAGTGCGACGAACTGATCCAGTTCTAAAAATGAAAACAGATTATATTAAGTATATTAATTTGTAATACTAAATACAAATAGATACTTATTAATTTAACTAGTTGGATCAGAAATTAAAACAAAGCATATTTTTTTTAAGTATCATCGTTTTCAACAAAAAATGTCATCGTCATTTCCAACTATCTATTCATAATTTTATATAAATTAATTTTTTTTTTTTTAATTTAATAAGGACTTAACAAATTTTGAAAATACATATCTATTATTTAATAAATGTATACAATTATGAAATAAAATAATTAATAGTTAGGTATAAAATTTATTGGATCTGGAATTAAAACAAAGCAATTAAAATAATCATAAATGTTAAATCAATCAAAAATCATCGTCATATCCAACTAATTTAATTCTGTAGTATGAGTATTATTATTTACAATTTACATTTATTGGATCAGAAATTAAAACAAAGCATAATTTTTTGAATCACTGTACTTTCAACATCAGAATTTACATCATATCCAATTTTAATACTTGTTACTAGTAATTACTTTAGTTTATTTTAAATTACTTGTTGAATTCTTAAGACCAATATTAAATAAATAAGTTTATGATTAGCATGTTATTCATATTTTTTTGTAAGCACAATAATAAATGTTTTATACTCAACAAGACAATGTCACCTAAATATTATTTTTATATTCCTACTTAAATGTAAGACATTAAGTCAGAACTTGTGTGAACAATTAAACAAGAGCAAGTTTTAATACTCAAGAAATCCAATAATTATATTTATCAACATGCATTATAGGATCATGCGTGAAGACTTAGTAATATGAAATGATACAATTTTAATGGGATTAAAAATTTGAACTAGGCAATTTATATTGTTTTAACTATAAGAATTAAATGTTTTTTTTTAAAAAAACCTAAATATAACCATACCATATCAAGAACACGGCCAAGCATTTTATTCATTATAATTGTATCTTAAATTTAAATTAATTAAGTTAATCAGAAGTTTTAAAAAAACCTGG